CTCCTCCTTCTCCTCGTCCTCCTCCTCCTCCTCCTCCTCCTCCTCCTCCTCCACGGCGTGCACACTGGCACATCAACTGTGGTCCAGACTTTTGGTCGCCGGTTCTGGCTTCCCACGCTTCGGCGCGGCACGCTGTCCACGTCTTGGTCCCCCGGCGTCCGCGTCCCGAGCGCTTCCGAGCCTCCTGCCCCGCTGAGCGGAGCGACGCGCTATCCACTCGCAAGGTCGGGCGTGTCGCCGCGGCCGCCGTCGCGGCACACTCATCAAAAGTTCCTGACCTTTATGCGAATCGACACGGCGCACTCTTTGGCGCCACCTGGAGGCGTCGCTCACCTCATCTTGAAGGCAAGGACTGTCACCGGCCGATCGGAGTGCATCGGGTAGTGCACTTCTCAGCCATTCTTTCCTCGGCGGAGGGGCGACTTGAAATCGGGGGCGTCCAGGGGACGGTGGCGAGGACCAGGACGCGTATGTCCATATCGTCGTCGAAGGGGGAGGGGCGGGGGACGACGTTTTTCGCCGGGTGCTTGGACGCTTCCTCGCCTCCGGATGCGGTCGAGCAGCCGCGCCTCGCCGAGGGCTTCCGGGGGTGTGCCCGGATCGCCCCGAACGGCCGCCAGATGCCCGAGGTATGACCGGAAGACCACCGGGCGTCGGAAAGGGTGGGCGTGCGGATGCCATGGCTACCTCTATGTCGGGCGTGTCCCCCTACAGGGGGATTTTCGACGAACAAAAAAATACCCCCCCCAACAAAAATATGCAAAAATAGTCCCCAGGCTACTTTTTTTTATTTTTGATTATTTTTTTTTGGGGGGGAATTTTAACATTTTTCGTCGAAAATCCCCATCGTGGGACAGGCCCGACTTAAGGCTACCTCTCCGTCTTTGAACTCGTTCCCACAGGGAACGCGCAGACGAGGAGGGACCAATGGTCCCTCCTCGTCTGCACGCACGCCTCGGGCCGGGATGCGCTCGCCCCCCTCTCCGCCGCCGCACGCGAAGCGGCCTCGCGGCCGGTGCCGAGGACCCTGAGGCAGAGCACGGCCCAGGCGCAAGAGCGGGTGCTCGAAGGGAGGAGCAGGAGCAGGAGGAGGAGGAGGAGGAGGAGGAGGAGGAGGAGGAGGAGGGAGGAAGGAAGGAGGAGGCGCAGAGGAGGAGGAGGAGAAGGAGGAGGAAGCGGCAGGAGAAGCGGAGGAAGGGAGGAAGGAGAGGAGGAGGGAGGAGGGAGGAGGAGGCGGCAGGAGGGAGGTGGGAGGAGGGAGAAGGAGAGGAGGAGTGGGAGGAGGAGGAGGAAGAGAGAGGAGGAGAGGAGGAGGAGGAGGAGGAGGAGGAGGAGGTGGGGCTCCGAGGGTGCGGCCCCCAGGACGGGAAAGGGCTTCCGGGTGGAGCTCGCGCTGCTCCGTGCCTCCTCGCCCTCGGGCCCCACGCGACAGGGCCCCGTCCTTGCAGTGCGGAGGGGGAGAGAACATCTAGTGTCAAGTCGTGCCTGTCCCTCTACAGAAGGAAGTGTCCAACATAGTCAGCAACAGTCTGGGGACGATTTAAAGACACTTTCTTTAGCTCTAGTTTCTTTTTTTGTGTGTGAATCTTTCAGATTTCTTTACTTGTATTCAACACCCGCCTGTAGGAGGGCATGCCCGACCTAATCCTAGGGCCCCACGTCCCAGGGTCCCGTCCTTGCAGTGCGGAGGGGGAGGGGAAATCTCGCGGCAGTCGGCCCCTTCCGCCGCTGGGTTCGGGTCGTGCTTCTGAGGCCTGGGAACATTTATGGGTCTCTGCGGAGGGCTCCTCGGGATCTGAAGATTGTGGCCCGTCTGGGTGCGGCCTGGTTGGGGGTCTCTCTTGGGGGCCTCTTGGGGGCCTCCCTTTGGAAGTATAAGGTTGGAGGGGTCGGCTTCCAGCGTCGCGGCGGTGGCGTTTTTTTGTAGTTTGGTTATTTTTTTGTTTTGTTTCGGTTGTTTCAGCCCTTGGGGCCATTTTGGGGTCTTGGGCCCCTCTTGTGGTTCAGTTTTTGGCCATCTTGGGCCGGTCTTGGGGGCTCTTGGGCCGCCTTGGGCGCTCTTGCGACCGATGCGGCGACCATCTTGAAGTCTGACGAGTCCTGCGGGATCCTGACGGTTTTGGCCTCCTGGGCGGGTGCTCTCCAGGACAGCCCGAGAGGCCACCAAGGGCGCCGAAGTGGACCGAGGTTGGCCCCGACAGGGCTCTCGCGGTCTCGGGCGGCCCGACGGCCAAACTGGCCCCAATGCCGCCCGAGTTTGGAAGGAGACGGGATGGTGCGGACAGTCGGGCCGCTGAAGAAGGGAACCTCTTCGCTGGGGAGGGGCTCAGTGCTCCTCAACGGCTTTGCAGTTTGTCTTAGGTCTTCCTGGGCTTTTCTATGGCGGATCGAAGTTTAACTCGTGGGACCATTGGGCCCCGTTCCTTATCCAGGGTTCCTTATGACAGCGTTTCTCGCCCTGGGTTGGAGAGCTCGGAGAGCGCCCGTTGGCCAAAGGGGAGAGCTCAGAATGGAGAAACGTTCCCCTGGACCACCCTGGGACGACCACCCTGCTTCCTTCGGACTTCAACGCCGCGTATCAACGTGTTTGCGTCCTGACAGTCCTAAGTCGTGCCATAACGGAATTCCTGGGACTTCATCACCGCGAACCAACGTGATTGTTGCATCCGGGCAATCATGACTCATCCTGTTTCGTGCCAGAAGGCCGTCCCTGAGACTTCGACCATACGGATCCTTGCAGCAGTTGCGAACTTTAAGACGAATGTGTGCGGTGCTGAGGCAAGAGCCACATTTTGAGCAGGACCCGCCCTGCATCGATGAAACGGTTGCAAACTTTAAGACGGATGTTCGTGCGTTAAGGCCATAACCACATTTTGAAAAGGACCCGCCCGCCATCCGTGAAACTGATGCAAACTTTTCAGACGAATGTGTGGGATGCTAAGGCGAGGGCCACACTTTAGAAAGAACGGGCCCTCCATCGGTAAAGCTGCACAGCTCAAGCTTCAGGATCATGATCGGCAAGGGAAAGTCTCAGGCAAAACGCCGGCCCGCCCTACCAACACGTCTGGGGGGCGACAGGGAGGAGTCATTTGTGAGGAAGAAGGGTTGATGATGAGGAGGGGGAGGATGCGGATGATGATGATGCTGATGATGATGATGACGACGATGAGGATGATGATGATGATGATGATGATGATGATGATGATGATGATGATGATGAGGATGAGGATGAGGATGAGGATGATGATGATGATGGTGGTGGTGGTGATGATGATGATGATGATGAGGAGGAGGAGGAGGAGGATGGAAGACGAGGGAGCAGGAAAGGTGGGAGGAGCAGGTGGAATAATGAGGACGAGGATTCTGATGATCAGGAGACTCTACCCTCCTCCCCCCTTGTGCCTCTCCTCGTCCTTTTTCCTCCTCGCCTTCATTCCCGCTCCTTCCCCTTCTCCGTTTTCTGCTCTTTCATTCCCTCCTCCCCCCTCCTCCCCCCCCTCCCCCCCCTCCCCCCCCCTGCTGCTCCTCCTCCTCCTCCTCCTCCTCCTCCTCCTCCTCCTCCTCCTCCTCCCCCTCTCCTGTGCCCTCTTTCTCCCGTGTCCTTCTCGTTATTTGCCTTCACCTACGTTCTCCTCCTCTCTGTCCTGCTCTTGCTCTTCCTTCTTATCATGCTCTTGCTCTTGCCCCTCTCCCTCGTCCTCTTCTTTCCTCATGCTCGCTTCACTCCTGTAAGTTTCCCATCTTTCTCCTTTCTGTTACTCCTGCTGGATCTTCTGTCAGTGGATATTGCCGTCATCGTGCTTTGGCCTCTGAGCCTCGTTGTCTAGTCCCAAGAAGCACGAGCTACGCTGGTCTTGAGTGGGCAGCTGTCTTCGTTGGTTGCCCTTGGCCTCCGACAGGGCGCGTCCGAATATGTGCGACCTGAACGCCCGCATTGCCGAACGCCGTAGGAAGGATGCAGTGCGTCATCAAGCCTGCCTGGCCCATCCTTGGCCGACCTCCTTACCGCGGAGGCCGCTGCACTTGTCTCAACATTGGCGTCCATTCAAAAGTAGTAAAACATAGTGAGGGTACGTTTTTTATTTGATTCTACGTTTGGATCATTTTTTTACCTTTCGGGCAAATTCCGCCTGTAGGGGGACATGCCCGACCTAATTCCACCCTCAACCCGCATCCTTGCTCCCGTGCTTGCTCACACGTGGTGCAGTCTGCCTTGCTGGCGCGTGCCCTCCTTGGCGGAACGAATAGCCGTGTGGGGGACACTTCAGGAGAAAGGCCGTTGTCCTCGAGGATCGGAGGAGTTGGCGTCTCCTCCTCGGCGGAAGGCGGCGAAAGGTCGGCGGAAGGCGGCGACCGTAGAACGAGGCCACCTCCGCCGGCGGAGGCGGGAGGAAGGTCGGCGGAAGGCGGCGGAAGCAAAAGGTGCGCCCCAAAGAGATGACAGCATCTTTGGGTTCAGGGTTTCTGGAACCCGCCATGTATGCGAGCGTGTGATCCGCCAGCTGTGCCTGGCAAAGTCCGGTGCCCGGATCTTCTCCGGCGCCCCTCCTGCTCTTTCCCTCCCGCTCTCGCCTCCCCCTCGCCTTTCGCTCCCGCGCCTCCTTCCCCAGCGAGATCTTCGCACCCATCTGAGGGGCCGATTTCGTCGGCGGGAGGGGCTAGATCCCCTCGGAGCCCCCAGGACCTCCCCTCAAAGGCTCGAGGCCCTCCCTCCTCCTGCTCCTCCCTGGCTGGCGATATCTGATTATCCGTCTGTGGGGCAGAACTTGCCAGTCAAGGGTGGGTGGGGTGGGGGGGGGACGACCATCAGGTTTTCTAGAACCGGTCAGAGGTCCCTTCATGATCCCATTAGCCCCCCCTCCCGCCCCTGCTCACCCTCTTCTTCCGCCCTCATCTCTCCTTCTCCTCCTTCTCCTCCTCCTCTTCCTTCAGAGGAGCCGTGCATGTTCTTCAAAGAGGGCAAGTGCACCCGCGGGGACAGCTGCAAGTTTTCCCACGAGGACAGGCGGGTCAAAATGGGCGAATTGTTGCTGGCAGCGTGGGAGGGAGGGAGGGAGGGAGGGAGGGAGGAAGGGAGGGAGGGAGGGAGGAGGCGGAGGAGGAGGAGGAGGAGGAGGAGGAGGAGGAGGAGGAGGAGGAGGAGGAGGAGGAGGAGGAGGAGGATCATGAGCAGGAGGAGCGGGAGAAACGGGAGGAGCGGGAGGAGCGGGCAGAGCGGGCGGAACGTGATGATTATCATCATGCTCATGATCTAATATTAATACTACAAGTAATCGTACTAGTCATAACAATTCTTTACGCTTCGCGTATCCCCACCAGCCCATCTCACAACAGCAACTCTTGCGAAGCATGCCGACAGTCGTGTTTTTCAGGCGTGTGTCCGCTTGGCCCCGCATATCTCCCCTGTTACTCCTTCCTCCCGCCTCCTTGTACATCCTCCTTGTGGGGGGAGCGGGAGAAGGACGAGGCGGAGGAGGAGGGAGAGAAAGCGCTCCTCGTGGTTTGAGTCGTTTGGGGTTTCTCGTCCTGGTGTGAGTCGTTCGGGCCCTTCTTCCTGGTGTGAGTCGTTCGGGCTCTTCGTGGTGTGAGTCGTTCGGGCTCTTCGTCCTGGTGTGAGTCGTTCGGGCTTCTCGTGGTGTGAGTTGTTCGGGCCCCTCGTCCTGGTGTGAGTCGTTCGGGCCCCTCCTCCTGGTGTGACTCGTTCGGGCTCCTCGTGGTGTGAGTCGTTCGGGGCGTCGTGGTGTGAGTCGTTCGGGCTCCTCGTGGTGTGAGTCGTTCGGGCGCCTCGTCCTGGTGTGAGTCGTTCGGGCCCCTCCTTCTGGTGTGAGTCGTTCGGGCTCTTCGTGGTGTGAGTCGTTCGGGCCCCTCGTCCTGGTGTGAGTCGTTCGGGCTCCTCGTGGCGTGAGGCGTTCGGGCACCTCGTCCCGTCTTGGGGGCCTCTTGGCGGCCCCAGGGGCTTCTAGGAGCGTCTTGGGTGCCTTGGGGGAGCCTCTTCGGGCCTCTTGGGAGCCTCTTGGAGGCCGTTTGGGGCGTCTTGGGGGCCTCTTGGCGGCCCCAGGGGCTTCCAGGAGCGTCTTGGGTGCCTCGGGGGAGCCTCTTGGGGCCTCTTGGGGGCCTCTTGGGGGCATCTTGGGGGCCTCTTGGAGGCCTCTTGGGGGCCTCCTGGGGGCCTCTTGGGGCCATCTTGGGGCCTCTTGGTGCCTCCTGGGCGCTTCTTGGGGCCATCTTGGAGGAGATCGATCAAAGAAGAAGGGAGCTTTAATTAGCGCTGGCCCCTCAGAAGGGCAAAATGGGCCCAACACCTTCGTAACATCAAGGGTTTTGCCTTGAAAGAAGAGGGGATCTGTAATGAGCGCTGCCCCCTCAGAAGGCCAAAATGGGGCCAAAACCGTAGTAACATCAATGTTTTTGGCTTCAAAGAAGAGGAGAGCATTTTTTCTGCCTCCCCCCGTCGGGGCCAGAATCCTCGTGAGGGGTGTCGTTTTTTAGCCCTCCCAGGAGTCGAACATGACCCCCCTGACGACCCGCGGAACGCCCTCTCCAGGCCCAGGGGGAGGGGGTAGGGGGAGGGGTAAACCCCTCCCCGAAGGGGAAGAAGGAGGGTTGAGAACAGAGCGGGCTCTCTAAACCACTCACGCCCAAAGGGCTGGTGGGATTCTACTGATGATGATGATTATGATGATGTTGCTGCTGATTATGATGATTGTGATGATGACGATGCTGATGATGATATGATGATTATGACGATGCTGATGATGACGATGCTGATGATGATGATGACGGTGGTGGTGATGATGGTGATGGTGATGATGCTGATGCTGATGTTGCTGATGATGTGCATGGTGATGGTGATGATGGTGATGATGATGAGGGTGATGCTGATGGTGACGTTTATGGTGGCGATGCTGCTGATTGTCATGATGCTGCTGTTGATGATTATGCAGATGAGGATGATGATGAGGATTGTGATGATGATGATGATGATGCTGGTGCTGATGATGCGGATGATGCTGTTGGTGATGATGATGATGATGATGATGATGATGATGATGATGATGATGCTGATGCTGGTTGTTGTGGTGGTGCTGACGATGATGACGATGATGCTGATGCTGATTATGATGATGATGGTGAGGAGGACCATGAATATGATGATGAGGATGATGATGATCATGATCATGATGGAGATGAGAAGGAGGAAGGTGATGGTGCTGGTGATGATGCTGATGATGCTGATGATGATGCTGATGATGCTGCTGCTGATGATGATGTTGGTGGTGGTGGTGATGATGATGATGATAAGACTGCTGCTGCTGATGATGATGATGATGATGATGATGCCGATGGCAATAATGATGATGGTGAGGGGGGGAGGGGTGGATGATGAGGAGGAGGAGGCGACGGACGATAACGAGGATGAGGATGAAGATGAGGATGAGGAGAAGGAGGGGGCAGAGGAGGATGATGATGTTGCCTGTGAGGATGCTGTCGTTGATGATACTGGTGATGATGATGCCGATGAGGCTGTTGATGATGATGATGATGATGATGATGATGATGATGATGATGATGATGATGATGATGATGATGTGGCTGATGCTGATGATGATATTGATGATGATCATGGTGATGATGACGATGCTGATGATGATGTTTCTGATGCTGTTGATGATGGTGAGGATGCTGCTGCTGATGATGCTGATGCTGATGCTGATGAGGATGCTGCTGCTGCTGACGATGATGCTGATGATGATGATGGTAATGGTGATGATGCCGATGATGATGCTGCTTCTGATGATGATGCTGCTGTGATGATGGGGGGGGGGGATGAGATGAGGATGAGGAGGAGGAGACGGATGATGATGCGGATGAGGATGCGGAGGAGGAGGAGGAGGAGGAGGAGGAGGAGGAGGAGGAGGAGGAGGATGAGGAGGAGGAGGAGATGGATGAGGAAGAGGAGGACGCTGATGCTGATGCTGATGCTGATGGTGGTGGTGGTGCTGCTGATGATGATGAGGATGCGGCTGTACTAATGGTACTGTTGAGCCTTGCTATGCTGCTGCTGCTGATGATGCTGATGCTGATGACGATGCGGATGATGATGATGATGATGATGATGATGATGATGATGATGATGATGAGGATGATGATGAGGATGATGATGATGATGATGATGATGATGCTGATAATCCTGCTGCTGGTGATGAGGCTGATCAGGATGATGTTGATGATATTGATGATGCTGATGATGATGCTGATGATGCTGATGCTGATGCTGAGTATGATGATGCTGCTGCTGATGATGATGCTGATGCTGATGCTGATGATGATGCTGAACATGATGCTGATGATGCTGCTGATGCTGCTGATGATGATGATGATGCTGCTGATGATGATGATGATGATGCTGATGATGATGATGATGATGATGATGATGATGATGATGATGATGATGAGGGAGAGGGGGAGGAGTCGGAATATAAGTACGAACCACTTGCGGGGGCAAGAACGCCTAGCGGAAGGAATTTACGAGAACACGGGTGTTGCCTTTGTTGTTGTTCGGACTTTCTCAGGACCTTGAGGGTGAACCCACTTCGAATTCGTTTTAATCAAGCGTAGCATGTACGGTTGGAGGTGGTTCAGGGTTTGCCCAGCGATCTTTGCTGCTTGTCAGCTATCGCCCCACACCGTCTGCATAACTAGGGCATCAGCGCAATGTGATAGTTGAGGAGGTGGGAAGGGTGCAGCCAGATCCCCTGTCACGCGGACCTTGCTACCCGCGGTCGGAGACACCAAATTGCCGTTGACATTCGCAAGAGAGGATGAACACGATTTCCACCACTCGTCGGCAGTTGTCAGGGTGGCCGACCCGAAGCGGTTATATCATGCCCTTTTGCACTCAGAGGAGTTGTGCTCTGACATTGAGAGGGAGAGGGCAGCAGCAGCTAGGGGCGGGGGAGGGGGAACGGTTAATATTGGAGCACCTCATTATTCCGATCCCGAACCTCCAACGCAACAGCCTTCCCAGCCGCAACATGGTCGATGGTAGTCCTGAACAAACGCCTGCGAACCAACGTGGCCCTGCGTTCGTGAGTATGAAACGCTTGCCTGGTAGCGTCTGGGGCCCTAGACATATTTGCCGCATTACTGGAAAGCTCATCCGCGACAGTCCAGTCTGCTTAAAGACCGCCCCGCGCAGATGTCACCCTTGTCCTGGTGGCTACGAGTAAGCAGGACGGCAACCTCCCAGTGGGGTCGAGATAGCATCAGTTTTCTTACATCAGTCCAGATGTCGGCATCCTGACCCTTCGGTTCGCGTCATTCATGTTCATGCCAGCTGCTTGCCAAGGCTTCGAAATCATCGAGATACGTGACGTGCCCGCGAGTACAGAACATTGCAAGGAACCCGTGCTTTAGGCCCCCCCCGAGCCACGACCTGTCGATGGCCACTCAGGGGGCCAACACTCGCGGAGTCCAAGACAAGGGGGGAGGGGAAACTCAGCTCAACGATGGAAAGTCCGACGCGTCTGAGGCGGGGCCACTTCGACTCTGGGAATCTCCAGAGGCATCGCCAGCAACGAGGATCGGAAAGCCGCGGAAACCGTGCCGATCGCACCCACCTTCAATCTCATTCACGTCGCTGCCCAAGAGTCCTCGCAGGCGAGCTCAGGGACACGAGCACACTCTGCAGGGATCGGCCCTCTATAAGTCAAAGACTTCCGCTGTGTGGAGCTGGGCAGTGGCCTGGTGTGTAAGGCCTGCGGAAGCCTCAAAAGTCTTGGGAGCCCTGGTTGGCGCTGCGCTCCCAGCACCTATGAACTAAGGTTGGAGGTTTCCTCTCACACCTGTCACAGAGCTTGCCTCGAGAGCAGCTCCGAATGAGATCAACGCCACCGCCCTGCTGCAGCAATCACTGTCATAGTTTCGGCCAAACGCTTCCGGTCGGTGCAGCCGCTACTTGTTGAATCAGCCTCTGGTGCGACTCGTTATCATTCCATGC